AAGCTTACCATGGACAACAGTTTGTAAATTCCAACACATTTGCGAGAAAACAGTATACATAATTTAGCAAGTATGTAATGAAGCAAGCTTTTTCTTATAAGAAAATGTCACCACGTGCGGGTGAAAATCAGAACTACATCTTTCGTCTCTTTTTCTTTTTAGTATTAGAGTGAGACAAAATATATTGATAAAAAGCACTTCCAAGGAGCATTTCCCAAGTAGGTGGCGCCACGCAATACGTTACTCGTCGCTTCTACGGGTAAAGTATTGCGCGGAGCAATCACTAGGCCCCCGATGTACTCTTAACGGCTTGTTTCAGTCGGAACGGAGTTTCCTCTCAGTTAAATGTAATAGCGACGACCGCATCCCCGTCCCTTAGTAGGCCACGGCCGACAGCAGCCCCTCTGGCTATTGTAATGCCCACCCTGTTGCGAGCGGCCTTCCGCAGCTCATCAAACCGATACGGGCGTGCTCCAATAGGGAGCTGCTCGTCAAAAGCCGCGTATCCACTAGAGGCAACCTCGCGTCGAGCGGCCTCGACTTGAAGCAAATAGCCTCAGTTTGAGGCTGCTCGCTCTGAGGCAACGGCTATGGATCAGCTCGAGGCGTGTCGCCTCAGCTTGATCCGCTGGCGGCGCACTGCGCAGTTAAAAGCCAAAACGCGATTGCACCAGACGCGCGTCGTGTAGCTGCTGCTTTAATAGCAATAACCATTACTAAGAAAAAGAGGAGGCAACAAAAAGCTATACAAAAGAGGAAACACCGCTGGTGGATAAAAGAATTATACTGCAATAGAACTATACATGGATGTGAACACTTGCTATTGGACATGACGTTGGAAGGTGGCGATAGCTTTTGAAATTTTAGCGACCGTCTCCATTAAACACACGGCTCGGACTGAGGCGCCTTTGAGCACGGCACAGAAACCGACAAAATATGGCTCGGCTCGCGGCGACGAATTTGCCTCGCGTCGCGGCGTGCCTCGGAGTGAGGCAGCCGCTCGACCCGAGGCTGCCTCTAGTGGATACACGGCTCAAGAAGCGCATATGTGCTAGTTTTTTTAACTAGGCAGCGCTGCATCGTCCCCTTCTCAGGGGACGATCGCATCCGATGAAGCCTTAAAGGCCTTCCCTTCCAGAGGCAGCCCCAACGAGTGTGTTTTAGTCAGTAAGAGTCAGACATAATCCTGCAGCCGGCTGTAGGGTATCCCTGAGGATTTCACACCCGCTCCCCGCCTGGGAAGAAACAAAAGAAAGGTCTATGGAAATTAAAAAAAAAACTACTTAGCTTTTTTTTTACCTTTGTATCGGTAATTTTAAACTTTCAAACAATGTATACAATCTTCGTAAATACATATTTTGAGCAAATGTGTTGAAAAGGCCATTTATAAACGCGATCGTTTTGCTTGTTTTACGAACCATGTTATTGGAACCTTCTAAATGATTGATGGGAGAAGTTGCTACTATATGTTGTCATGTTTTACAGCTATTTTCTTTGCTAATGATACTTTGAGAAGTAATCATCATTAGTGCTCATGTCACTCTGATGTGGGCACGATGTTTGTCTTTTAAGGGTATTAAGGAAAATATCTTCTAACTTGTTTTCGAGATTGTCCCTTTGAAATAAATTGTGTTATATCATCATCATCATCATCAGCCTATTAATGTCCCCACTGCTGAGGCACAGGCCTTCCCTATAGATGGAATAGGGAGAATGGGCCATGACCAATCACGCTGGCCCAGTGTGGATTGGTGGATGCTAACGACTGCAGATGCAGCCGGGACCAACGGCTTAACGTGCCTTCCGAAGCACGGAGGAGCTCGAGATAGTAAATTTTTGGTCACCCATCCAATGACCAACCACTGCGAAAGTTGCTTAACTTCAGCGATTGCAGCCGAACGCGCTAACCACTTGCGCCATCGAGCTCCTCATATTGTGATATATACTTGTTACTTTTTAAAGACTTTATTAAGTTTATAGGAAACGATAGTAATAGTTTGTTATACTTTACTTATTATTTTAAACTAGCAAACCAGTGAACCAAATTTTCACCAAAAAAAAATCTATTTAATCAATTGAGAACTTCGGAGATTTTGTGTGGTTTCATTTGAAATAGAAATCACGTGATTTCTCGAAAACCGGAAGTGCTACGTTACTCACATCCGGTTTGTAGTCTTATCAGACTATTCTTAACTTATAACTTAAACATTCTCTATATCTATCTCTTACGGTTTGACCGCTGAAACAGCACCACGGACGGACGGACGGACGGACTTGTCTAATAAGTAGATAGAGATTCGTCACAAGACTTCTTTATATCTAGCATGGGTAAGATAGCAGATAATGCATTATTTTCCTCATTCATTATTAATTCATTTTTTATTATATATTATTTAATTCATTATTCGACGACCTCCGTGGTCGAGTGGTTTGTACGCCAGATTTCATGGTGTCGCCGACTCGAGAGGTCCGGGTTCGAATCCTAGTGGGGGCAGATGTTTGTGTGATGAATAACGAGCATTTGTACTCCAGTCATGGATATTTAATATGTATTTCTATATAAATATACTTATATATGTGCACTGTGCAGTATATGTATTCTATCCGTTACCCTAGTATCCCATAACACAAGCCTTACAGTGCTTACTTTGGGGCTAGGCTAATTGGTGTGAGTGTTGGAAATATTTATTTATTCTTAACATTATTCTTTACTGCAGAAGATAAGAACAACATGTTACAGCAATCGCTTACACGAAACTAAACAAAAAACAATCATATCTTTATAATTAACTTTTTATAGGATACGACGAGGAACGGGACTGTTGCCCTTAACACAGATTATTTTATAATCTAGCTAGGGCTCAGTGAGACTATGTCAGTAAAACTCTTATGCCTAAGATTTTTTTTTACTATTACCTACCTTATAAGAAAAAAAAAACTATGTAATTAGTAAGTTTAAATATTGTACACTATTTTGGCAAAATAAAAGATTATTATTATTATTATTATTATATTTTTCTACAAATTTCTAAAATTATTCGTATCGTAAACCTAAATCTAGAGTTTCCACACAATAAAATTAGTAGTCGTACAACGATACAGTTATACATCACCGCAATTCGGCCCTGTTCCCGTCCACTCGCCCGTGGGATAGAAATCGGGAGTGGCATACTAATATGTATTATCAATTGCTTACTTCGTCCGAAGCTCCACCAGATTCTACAAAACCCCAAACTTTCCCAGTCGATTATGAATCTTGTGTACTGCAAAATACGAATACAAGTCAGTTGAAGATAATTAAAGGATTTGTAGAACGTAACCTGCTGTTGATTGTACAAAGTACGAAACACAGCACCAGTGTTGCCAGGTCTCCAGATTTTACAGGAGATCTCCTGTTTTTCTACATGAATCTCCTGTTTTTTTCGATTTTCTTTTTTAAATTTCATGTTGAGTTGCATTTTCCGTCATTAATAATGTAGCTAACCTTAATAATTATAAAATAAATGTAATTGTCCAAAAATTTAGTACGCCACGTCATGCATCTACTGTTTTTCTTGTAGCTCTTTGCAAACATCTACTGATTTTTTCTATAACGCCTCCCGATTTTTGAAAATCGGACCTGGCAACACTGCACAGCACATCCCTCACTCACGCTCGCTAGAGTTAGGCAGTTTAAGTGGTCGCTGATGATTTGCGAATTTGTTTACCCCTAGTATTTGGAGTCGGAAGGATGAGGAAGGAAGGAAGTGTTTATTAAAAAGTTATAGGCTGACTAAACGTTAAAACTTGGTGCCTACAAAATGAGGAAACAAAACGATTTCATTATGAAAATCCGGTACTTAATTCCATTAGCTGACAATCAACACAGACCTCCCTGACGGATCTCAAAACAAACACAAAATTGCAGTATATCTGTCATTTTGACAATAATACCAACTTAATGAACATATTTTTACCATAGACAACGAGAAACATGTTATTTTTGCATGAAAAAATGGCAGCACTGATCAAAATAGCTGTCAAAATTGACTTTAACCTACAAAAATATTAATGTTCAATCATTTTTTTCTCGAATTCTATTCGTTTCCGCGTAAAAAGATTTCGTGTACGTTTTTCTAATAAATTAATACTTTACGTGACAAAAATTTCTGCTCGCAACTCAACTACAGCTAATGGAAAGCTGAGCCGAAAATCCAACTAATATAAAAAAACTCGAGTTTTGATGTTTGTTACCAAATAACGGTTGACCAAATTTGGATGAAACATCGAAATTCTAAGTCCACGTATACGAAGTTGCAGGCAAAAGCTTTAAAAGCTATATTAAAATTTCGCTGTGCTTGCAATATTTGCCATTAGAGTAATATCTAACAAAAATAATTGGCATTTCGCCTCCTTTAATAACAATGTTACACAGGCCGATATGTAATTAAGTAATAAAAAATTTAATGATGGCAACATTGTTCTCCAAACTTTATATCGTTGCAGATTGTTAATTCTAAAATAATAAATAAAGTTTAATTAATAGAAGTTAAACGATCAGCTAGTTAATGGCTACTAAAGATATTTTTCAGTGAAAAGTTATTAATATTTTTTATAATATAGTTTGTTTTAAAAAATATAGGTATTGCATAAATTACTCAAGGCAAAATAAACTCTAAATCTGTTCGAATTATCAGACAATTAACTTATCCTATTTCTGTTTCTACAATGACACCTTCAATCATTGTCATACCGTCTTTATAGCGGTACAAGTAATACATAAACGTTTCATTAAATTGTAACCTTCATGTTAATGTAAGCCCACGTGATGACCACGCCCACAAGTGAGCCGAATATTACACGCATGACATCCTCCACGTGTATGGTACCTATCGTAAAATGTGTGTTAAATACTTTGACATACATTGTAAGTGCATCAATAATCAAAAATGAGTAAATATTCTGGTCATCAAAATGTTTGTAAACGAACGGGTAGATGCATGTAACACCTCTATGGAATTCTATAATAAAAATGTTTCAGGTCGTTCTAATCTTGTTATTGAAGAGTTTGTTGGTACAAAATCAATTTGTAATAAGTAATTGGCGAAATATCATCGGCGAGCGAAAACAACAGAAGAGCGCTAATAGCCATGATCCAGGCACGCCCCGACTCCTGCAGGCAATTATCGAGCCCTCAATCACATCTAATGATTCTAACGACTAACAAGGCTAGCCTTCTGCATGACTTGCACCAAACAAACGTAACATTATGCCCATATGAAATCGTCGCTACTATTACAAACTTAACACAAGCATCTGATGATGTAAAATTAACCTTAGCAGCAATGAAAAAGGAGATATTTAATGTGAATAGTGAAAATGGTTTCGTAATGATATGCAATAATGTTCTTAAAAAAATATACATAATATAATGAGGAATGGCGACGTGGTGGGCCACTTTCGTGGCAGGTGAATAGAGAGAAGCACAGAATGGTCTGCAGTGGGTTTTACTTGGGGCTGGTGGTGATGGCAGCTGTCACCTCAGTGAAGGGCACTGCGGAGGTGATGAGCCACGTTACTGCACATTTCGGAAAGGCTTTGGACGAGTGCCGTGAAGAGGTAAGAGATTTGAATTTATTTGTGCAATTGAGAGTAAAACGATAAAGCTGAAGTAATTCAGATGAAAGTTATCAAAATACATTTGAATCAGAATAATCTGAGTAACTGAATTATTAATGAATAATTAAAGTAGAATTCTTCTTATAATACAGTCATTTTTGCACACATTAGTGGACAAAATGGTACCATTGTGAAATAAATACACATTACTTTGGTTTTTTACATGTTACCAATGTATCGTGTTTCTCTACTAAGATTATATTCCTGTAATTCGAATGTTGCAATCATTGGATTTATTTCTGTTGTTATAGTTTATAAGACAGTCATCTTATACTGGTCTAAAATAAAGATTACATCTTTGCCAAGGATTATATTATCTTTGCTCAATTTATTTATAACTGTAACAAGATTTTAATCACTTTCTTGTCAACCAGTCAGGATTATCTACTGAGGTGTTGGAGGAGTTCAAGCACTTCTGGAGCGAGGACTTTGAGGTGGTGCACCGCGAGCTGGGCTGCGCGCTCATCTGCATGTCCAACAAACTGTCACTACTGCATGATGATACCCGCGTCCATCAGGTCAACATGCATGACTACGTCAAGAGTTTTCCAAACGGTTAGGACCTTAAAAAAATCTCATGTCCATTTTGAAATTCACAGCATTTTTGATAGTACCTGTAAATAGCGGGCTTTATCTCAAATCCGAAAAAACCGACAATTTACCATTTTACAAAAATCTTTTACAAAACGCGAATCTTTTTGCCTGATGATATCCATTATTTATCTAGACAAGATATTAATATAATATAAAGACAAAATAACTGTGTCGAACTATGTGCATCATGAATAATCTTGCAGAAGGCTAATCTTATAACTAAATACTAAAGCCCTGGTACACTTAATAATTATATCATATTTTCATAAAATATGGAGTATAATTTCAATTGCAATCAGAAAGTTATATATTCGATAAAGAAAAACACTAATTACAACAAAAAGTGTATTAAGAAGAACCTACATACTTCAGGAAACAGGATTTTAGAAAAGAAATTTTAAAATGTTATTACGATTCTTTAATGTTTACTATTCATTCAACCATTTTAGGTAGCTCGGCTCAAAGAATGAATTTTATCAATTAAAAACATAATGCAAGAATCTCTCTTTCATCACAATTAATATAACAGTTTCATTTACTAAAGTCTACTCATTTTATACTTGTACAAAATAAACGAATGCTGACATGTTATGTAAGTAACCTATATTTTGGATTAATTGAAAGGATTTTAGTCAAAACCCCAATTTTCAGGCGAGGTGCTTTCCGAAATGATGGTGAAGCTCATCAAGAACTGTGAGAGACAATATGATGATATCAAAGATGACTGCGATCGAACCGTAAAAGTGGCTGCGTGTTTCAAAGCTGACGCCAAAAAGGAAGGCATCGCACCAGAAATCACTATGATAGAAGCTGTTATAGAGATCTACTAGAAGGATTTTGATTCTGCTACAATTGGCTCAACAGATTCTGTTAGTTTAAGAAAATTGATTGATACTGCATAAGATGTTGAATATGTTGACGTTGAATTGACGAATATTGCTTGCTGTTACAAAATCAATACTTGAATAACGTATTTTAAAATTACCAAATGGTAAACATAAAAACAAGTATATGGCAAAAAATCGGGTTATATTCGCTGGTAATTAATATAAAGGTACTTGTAACAAGTGATTTAATGTGAGTTGTCTTATAGTTATGTTTATTTTCCTGTCCTTTTTCAATGTTTACTGTTGAAGTAGTAATGTGTAGAGTAGAGATCGAAAATTGTAGAAGATAATTTTGTAGACTAGAGACTGATTAACAATAAAATTAAAAAAAAAATGCATTAAAGATAATCAGGCCTTTTTATTTGACTTTACACAATAACACTTTAATGCATAAATATTCATATAATTTATTTAACAAAGAAATATATATCAGATTTTTATTTAATTAAATACAATTAAATTAATTTAAATATCGTCAAACACTACCCTGTGTCGTTCCTGGCGCAAAGGTGCCCATTATGCTTGGGAAAGAAAGTTGACTTCATGAATCATCTCTTATCGGAGTTTCTTACCGGTTCTTCTCAGTACAAGGTCTCCCTCCGTAGATTTACGAACTGATGGCTTAGCTTCTAGATATTCATGAGTGCTTGTACACATACAACAGCCTAAACTGAATAAATGATTTTAAATTTTAAACCGACACCACCCGGCTGGCTAAGGTTGTTCACGAATACGATTTTTACCGAGCCCAAATCGTCGATAGCGCCGGTGCCGTTATTAAATCCGTGCCTGGACCCGGTGGAAAACCGTTTCGTTAACAAGCACCCTTAGATTATGACTAATTGACTATTTCGGCGAAGCCTAATGATACTATTTGCGCAAGCTAAATATGAAGATTTTTAAGTTGTTCAAGTCTAATAAGCTTGTCCTCCATGATATTTCTATAGCAGACGGCAGCATAATCAAGAATAGGAAGCAATAAAGACTGTGCTAATGTGAGGAGCTCGATAGCGGTGCTGGCTAGTCCGTTCGGCTGCGATCTTTGAAGTTAAGCATCTTTTGCAATTTGGGTCAAAAATCTTCTATCTCTAGCACGTGAAGCCGTTGGTCCCGGCTGCATCTGCAGTCGCAAGCATCGTCAACCTAACCGGCTGAATCCGCGCAACCCGATACGGAAATATTTAATGACTTATGTTTTTCTCATTGTTTTATATTTGGTCTAACGATAACAATTACAAAAGCTTAAAACTACCTTATGTCTAAAAACGTAAAAACTAGAAATAACTAAGAACTTAAATAATATACAATTTACAAAATAAAAAATATATCACCCCCAGCGCCGCCGTCAGGAATGGTGCCCAATAGGCTGGCAGCATTTCCACGTTAGATAGCGAGGCTAATCCGTTGGCTGAGGTAGCTGCCAGCCTTTTGATCACCGGTCACCTCGGTGAGTCTCTTAGACAATTCCTTAAAGAAGGAACGAGCGCTTGGACACCATGGTCCAAGGCATTTTCTAGGCACTAATGCAGTCGAAATATGGCAAATCTCGTATTCTATGATATTATTTAATTATACTCGCATATTCTATAATTTTCTTTCACTTCTAAACTAGCACAAAAGACAATAAATGAAGAGTTATTCTTAAAATTCTTTGAAATACCATAGATAAATTATCCTCTCCATATACTTATGAGTAGCCCAAGATCGATCTGAGTGGCATGCATTTGGACAAAATTGGGAGGCCTATGTCCAGCAGTGGACTAAGATAGGCTGTTGACGATGATGATGATGATGATGATGATACTTAATGAGAAAATTTCTTAACTAAGCATTCCGTAATGTTAAGTATAATTGAAATTAAGTCGCGAAACTGGCAGGTAGAATAGATAAAATGATACACGCACAGCACCTTGAACTCTGTTCCTCTGCAGAGTGGAGCCCCCGCTACTTAGCTCCAGACAAAGTCAAACTATTTGTCCAGTCTGTTGAAAATTTGTGTGACGAAAGTAGCTCCCATCATAAGTCACATGGTTAATCTTATTTTCGAAACAGGTATTTTTCCAGATCATTTAAAAAAAAGCCTTGTTACACCGGTGTATAAAGGTGGTAAGAAAGACGATGTCAATAATTACAGGCCAATTTCAGTTCTTCCCTCCATAGCAAAAATTGTTGAAAAGCTCATTAATTCACGTCTAATAAAGTATTTGAATAAAAACAATATACTATCCAGTTGTCAATTTGGTTTCAGAAAAAAAACATCTACTGAGGATGCCATTGGATCTCTTACGTCTCTTATAACCAAACAGTTAGATACGGGGAAGAAATGTCTTACAGTATTCTTAGACCTAAAAAAAGCCTTTGACACCGTCTCCTTGCCGATACTGATACAAAAGCTTCAAGCTATAGGCATAAGAGGGCTTCAACTTGATCTTATGAAGAGCTACTTACAGGGGCGCACGCAAAGTGTTAAATTGGGTTATTGCTGTAGTGAGGAATGTGAGGTGACCTATGGTGTTCCGCAAGGAAGCGTATTAGGACCGACTCTCTTCCTTATCTATATTAACGACCTTACTAACATTGACGTGGAGGGTGCTAAGGTCTTCTCATATGCTGATGACACTGCTATTGTGTTCATTGATGACTCTTGGGATGCTGTTTTCCAGAGAGCTGAATCGGGGCTGGCTTTAATCTTTAAATGGCTTAATAATAATTTGTTAACACTTAACTTTAGTAAAACTAACTACATATGTTTCACCATAAATAAAAGAACACAGCCTAGTCAAAACCTCTTATTAAAAATTCATCACTCTTGCGATGCCATCTGCCGTTGTCTGCCTCTGGAAAGGGTCGTTTCTACTAAATACTTGGGATTAATAATGGACCAACATCTGTCATGGCACAGCCAGATCGAGTTTGTGACTGAGAGACTTAGAAAATTAACATGGGTATTCAAAACTCTACGTCATATAGCAACACGTCATCTTCTAAATAGAATATATGTCTCACTAGCTCAGTCTGTTTTGACATACTGCATCTCGATATGGGGAGGTGCTGCAAAGACTAAGTTTATAGAAGTAGAAAGAGGTCAACGGTGTTTGCTAAAAGTAATGTATTTTAAACCTTACAGATTTTCGACAAATGAACTTTATGAAATAGCCAATTTACCGACTGTGCGTCAACTTTATATATTGATTGCAATCTTAAAACGCCATAAATACTTGCCATATGAACCTAAGATAACTCAAAGAAAAAGAAAATGCATAAAAATCTCTCAGCATAACACAGCCTTTGCTGGGCGGCAATTTGATATACAGAGTTGTAAAATTTACAACGAAGTAAATAAAAAGCTAGGTGTATCTAATCTAAATATGTATGATTGTAAAAAAAATGTACTTACTTGGTTAAAAACTAAGAACTACAATGATACTGAAAACTTGCTTCAAAACTTGTAATAATCAAACACACACACGCACACACACACACACACACACACACACACAAACATAACAGATATATTGAACACTTTAGACTAAACATACAAAATGTAAAAAATCGTTATCTATTTGTAACCAATATGGTATTAAGTTTGGAAAAGTTATGGAAGAGCGAGAGTTCCTGACACAGGCAAATAAATTTGTCTACTAGGGATTCTCAAATATTGTATCACTAGCATAATATTGGTTATAGAAATAAAGTATTTTTGATTTTTGATTTTTTTTTTGATTTAAATTACATGCATAATAAAACTCTCTTGAGAATCTCTCAGATTTTCCCCAGCCACTCGTAAGTAAATTTTATTAGCTGTGGAGAGAAATGGTCAATGAAACTAAAATATTTTTTTTTACCAGAAAAAGCCCCCGCTGAATAAGAACCAGCACCACCCACTATCCGGGTAGATGCACTAACTAATGACGAAATTTGAAATACGTAGATATTAAAGGAGCTCGATGACGTAAGTGTTGAAGTTAAGAAACTATGACCAAAAATTTACTATCTCGAGCTCCTCCGTGCTTCAGAAGGCACGTTAAGCCGTTGGTCCCGGCTACTTCCTTAGTCGTCAACACCCACCAAGCAAGCAAGCAAGCTGGGCCTGCGTGGTGTACCCCAGCAGTGAGGGCATTAATAGCCTGATGATGATGATGAGATATTATAGTAGGATCCTTAATTAATTTTGGAGCTCTGCATCTAGCCGCCTGGCCTTCTAGCATCTTGTTACGCACGTTAATTTTTCTAAAATCTGATAACAAAGGACAATGGGCAAAACGCACCCAGCTCCGCCAACAATGTAATTAGTATGAATCGATAGATCTATGAAAAACTAGCCTTTTTTATTAAGACACCGAAAATAAATATCCTGGGAGTCAAAAGATATGACACCGTAAAAAATATCCTGGTAGTCAATAGATATGACACATGGCCATATTTAAGTAGCTAAATAAATATAGTACCTTCGTTTTATATTATTAGTAATCGTAATAATATGCCATATCGTACTATACAATCAGATATACGACAAAGCCTGTCGACCATCCTGCGCTTGCTCTTACCGAGGTATTTCAAAACGGTTTACGGATGATGAAGGACTTGCAGTTGCAAATAGTCGACTCGTCTTACTTCGTTGTGATTGTGCGCTCCCTGCTACTTAATTGATTTTTATCTAACACGCTTTGGATATTGGAACACGATTATCGGTTTCGTCAATTAGTATGTATGGATGAACTGGAATTATGTGTTCTCCGAAGCGTGGACAAGTTTGTGTAATCTGTGGTCGCTCCGTTTTACATATCTTCTATGTAAAACGGTCAATTTACTATAACGAACAGAATGTTTAATAAAAACCCTATCCATGCGGGGATATTTGAATTTACTCTGGCGCGGCAGAATAACTTAAGGGGGCACCTTTGCACCTTGTGAAGTACTCCCATAATTCCTGAGCACCCTATGTAGAGTCGAACTAACTAACTAAATTAAATCCCTTGTTTCAATAATGTATAGTACTTGTACACATTTAACTTAAAATAGCTAAAGACCCCCGGGATGGAATTTGATGCGCTTTGGCACAGATGATCTTGACTATAATACCTTTCAAACAAATGTAGTTTAAGCCGTGGCGAACGTGGGTGCAGCGTCCATACATTTTTGCCCAATGTCCTTTGCCTCAACGGTTTTGCTCTCTTAGCAATGATACGACGGTCTTCAAAAGGCAGGTAAACCTTTTCCTTCAGAGACGACAACGCATTAGTGGTACTCCTGGTGCTGCACGTATCCATGGGCGGCAGTGACCATTACCATCAGGTGGACCGCCAGCTCGTTTTCCTGCATAAATATAAAAAAAAACCATTGGTTTCTTTAAATATGAGAAAATTAACGAAGGGAGGCTTAATTAATACTTCTTCTTATTTGAATGACCAAATATAACATGCATTTATGTAATTTTTTTACGGGGAAAGTAATCGCCTTATTGTACTACTAATAATGTATTTTCTTATAAAAAAGCTGTTTCGATACTAAGCGTGCGAAATGATGAATCAAAAGAATATTGCTGCATTTAGTTTGCTCTGAGGCTTCCAACAAGAACACTAATTAGAGATTAATTGCTAACTTGCCAACAAACTAATATATAATCAGCACTTAAACCAACAACGCCGGATTAATTACACATTAGCGGTGAAGAAAAAATGCTATATAAACAGATGATAATTTTGGATGAGCCGCAATTGAACTGTCTTATGGTGAGGGATACGATGATGTTGAAACTGGTCGTAGTGATGTGTCTGACGATGACGGTGATGGTGGATTCATCACAAACGGTGATGAAATCAATGACGAAGAACTTCCTGAAGGCGTACGAGGTTTGCGCGAAAGAAGTAAGTAAAATTTGGAATTATTTGATGTAATTATTGGATCTGGAATTCATACAGCTCAAATCTTGATTTCGAACTTAAATAGTAATAATGTAAATAAGACTGGAAAAGAAACACCACAACCACAAATGCTTGAAAAATGCAAGTCGTTTGAAATCGAAAATTCTTTATTTGATTCGTAATAGACACAAGATATTATTTGCTTCTTTTATATATTCATGGGTTTGTTGCTGTAGATGTAAAGTAACATGAAAATTTATGAAAGATACCGAGCAAAATCCGAATTATTCGACATAAAATTTGTTTTAAGAGGTAGCTTCAGCTATTAAAATTCATTTGTTTATTACAAATGTAACGCTAATATAGGAACAAATATCAACAAAATTATCAAAGAAAATTTCTTCTACAACATTCGCAACATTTAATTTGTCCCATGTCTAGCTTAGTAGCAGAGGAAAGTGGGTTTTTGCTACTTTGACAAATTCTTTGGATCCGAATAAAAATGGTACTATTATAATTGTTTTTTTATAATTTGCAGTACAGCCTTAAAGAGGGCACTGCTGGTATATTGATCGGTTTCTGGAAAGATGACTTCAGTACCACCAGTAGGGACGTCGGCTGCGCCATACTCTGCCTGTCCACCAAGCTGGACCTCATCGACCCTGAGGGGAAGTTACATCATGGCAAGGCGACCGAGTTTGCCATGCAACATGGTTCTGGTGAGGTTCTGATATTAAACAAGTATTATTGACGGTTTGTTGGTGGCGAAAGTATATGGGTATAGGATTTTAACTTTCTACGATAAGTACGGGAAGATAACGACAGTTTCCTCAAAAGTAAATCGATGTATAACATGTTATCCTTCCGGGGTTGGCATAGTAAAAATAATACACAACTAACTACAAATAAATCAGGAATAAAAAAAAATACACATAACACAAATAAAACCCCTTGCCAGGTTTAAAATCTAGGAAAGCTGCAGTCACTACAAGCCGTTATAAATTTTGTTTTGTAGGTTTTTTGGGTATTTCTATTTCCTTCGATACTGGATCAAACTACCAATGGACTTGATACCTGCTCCTTGTTTTTTTTTCTTTTCTAAAGTTATTTTATACATTATCCATCATACAGTTTCATAATCTCTGCTCGTATTGCGGCTGAATAGTTAAATGACACTTCTTTTGAATTTATTACTTCAAATAGTAATGCTTCAGCTAAAATTGATCATCATATTATATTTGTCGCTTTCACATACTATCAGGTGAGGAAATGGCGAAAAAGCTGGTCGAGATTCTTCACAATTGTGAACAGACGGTGACACCCAATGAGGACAAATGCATGAGAGCCCTAGACATCGCCATGTGCTTTAAGAAGGAGCTGCACACCCTGGGATGGGCGCCTGACCCCGAGCTTCTGTTCGAAGAGCTGATCGCAGAAATGCGTTGAAATGGCGACTCACCAGTTTCTGCTAGGGAATGACGAAACAAACCTGACAAAAAAAGCTTATTGAACTTATTGTTAAATATTTTTATTTTTTAAGCAATTAACTAGATCTTTTAATCTAAAGAAAAGTTCACTAGAAAAAAACAGGGTCCCGTCTGCTGCCTGGTCCGGGTGGAATTTTTTTTTAGTAAACTTTTCTTTAGATTATTGTTACATATTTAGGTAATTCCTAGGTGTCGTTTAATTTTGCAAATTGTAATAAAAGGTTGAATGTTGAGATTAACATTCAACCTTTTATTACAATTATTGATAATAATATTATTATCATTTCGAGTTCCCGAGATATATTTAACATTCGCGACGATATCTTTTTCCTGTGTAATACTAATAAGTTTAAAAATGACTATATTTATTTAACTATTTATTTTATGAAAAGATTTAAAAAATATCATTGTCTTATTTGTGGTCAGAAAAAAGAAAAAATATATAAAATTACCAAGGACAGGTTAAACGGGCAACATTTATAGAAGTTAGTAATTGTAAATGTATTTATGATGTTGCAATATTACCTGCTATTCTTCATAACAATAATAAAATATATATTAAAACTCGAATGGAATATCTTGTAATAATGGTGGTAGAAATATAGTATAATAAATTTAGTAATATTAAGAACAAAATAAATACTGTACAATACTGAATAAAGCATTCTTATTGTATTATTAGGATCAGGTTTAAAATTTTGAAGTACTCTCAGCCAATTTGATTCCTGACCCACCATTAGCTTATTTCATTTGTTACAACCATTGTAAAACAATAAGGTGGACTTTCGCATACTTCATCATCATCATCATCAGCCTATTAATGTCCCCACTGCTGGGGCACAGGCCTTCTCTATGGATGGAATAGGGAGATTGGGCCATGACCCATTTCGCATACCTACGAGTATGATTTTCTGAACAATCGCATTTGACGTGTCAGATTTTGCCGTCTCTCTACCATACTGTTGTTGTTGCATTATTGGTTTGGAGTTTGCCCATAGAGCATAATGTCGAAAAATCGAAAGAGTTTTTGTTACATTTAACCTAAAAAAGTTACATTTATTTTGATAGTGATTTCCAAATTTAAACTAATATTCCAGTTCTATATATATAAGATGATCTTTAGCATTGATTTTTTTTTAACAAAAAACATGATTTTGATTTTTATTTTTGTTTAAAAAGTTGTATTTTAGACTTTTTATAAGCATAAGTAAGATCATCCTACTAAGTTATTGGTACCTGGCTTGCACTATCTCTTTCATATCCCTTTAAATACCTAAATACATATTAAGTACAGTACCGTTACCACGAAGCAAAATCGAATTGTGCAGTACCGTTACCACGAACCAAAATCGAATTCGAATAGTTTGCGAGTGCGGAATGTCATTGCCAAATGTGTACTGATTTTTAGTTCTCGTTACGTCCGTTGTGACGCTGCTATTCAAGTTTGCATACAAAATTTGATAATAACATTTCGCATTCGCAAACTATTCGAATTCGATAATAGTTTGGCTAAGGGTACTGTTTATAATTGAGGAATGTCTTCTCCGAAAGTACTGATCAGATCTGAGGATCTGATCAGTACTTTCGGAGAAATTAATATAGGAACATCTTGTCAAAAAACTGATTCAAACAAAAAAACAAACAATCATCAAAATAGGTCTACGCATATCGGGGATATGTACGAACAACAATAAAAAAATATATAATGACGAATTGAGAAACCCCTCCTCTTTGGAGTCGGTTAAAAACAAAGGTCAAATTTCAAAGATGTTTATCCTATTAGTACAGTTTCCACATTATAAGAAGTACCGAAGTACAACTATGCGTTCTCTAAATGAAAACATCACTATTTTTACTTTTTAAAGCGAATTATCGGTCGTAGTCAATTAGAAACGTAAAGTTTTGCAATTGTTAATAATTGCAATATAAATAAATAAACTTGTAATGGAAGACATGACATAAAAGTCACTCTGAAAAAACTGCACTATAAATCATCGTATAGGTCATCAAATGATTATTTAGGACATCAAATTATTATATTTGTAAAAGCATTTTTTTTTATTAAGGAATCTTTAGATTAATAATAAGACTCATTTTATAAAATCACGTGACACCACAAAGTCTCCAGCAAAATCAATGACAAATAAAAAAAACACGGTATCATTACTGAATTATATTAAAATAAATGAAATTGCAACTAAAATTCAACACAGCTAGTACGCTCTATAATTGTAGGAGTGACAGTCGACTTTCTCGTATATCATTATTCACATGTACAATTGAGAATTATTTAAACAGCATTAATAGTAGTATCTTGGAGTGAACTAACCCTTACATTTAAATGTCATTGAAGTTGAAGGTCATGTAAGAAAAACTGTTCCAAATAGCTATCCCCGGCTTTTAATATATTTATTTTGTATAATGTCGTAGGATGATTTGATAAATCAAATATTCGAGGATATTCTAGGGATTCTACGAAAACGGGGATTAGATAATGGCGATGGCATTTCTCAATCTTACTGAAAAAATATAGAATTTTTGCTAAGACGCAAGTCGTCTGAGTAAGATTACGAAAATAATCGTTAGCTAAACAGCACCTGTGCATTAGCTTCCTGGCTAATAGAAGAAGCAACATGCAGGAAGAGAATGGCTGGTATGGCACGTAGAACTGCTGTATTAGCTATCTTCGCGTGTGGACTTCACCTTCACTTAACATCAGGTGGGGTGGAGTCATTTGTCGGACCTATCTATAAAAAAAAATTAGTTGATGAAAAGGACGTTCGAAGTTAATTGCCTTATATTATAATGTTCTTTAGAAGTGCTGGCCCCAAAACTTATGCGTAGTGTTTTATTTTCCCAGTTTCCCCAAAGATACTATTTCCACAAATGTTCCCCTAAAGCCAATTTTTGCCCAAACCCCCTGTAATGTCTGGTAACGTTGCGTGCCATTTTTCGAAGAAAAAATCAGTCTTTTTTTTGTTAATTTAATCTAAATCGTTGTCTGTATTAGCTGGTAAAGTTTCTCAGGTAACTCAAAATCCACGATGTATATGTACATTAGTTGTAACGCTGTTTTGTGTGAATAGATAAAATATTCAATGAGAGACCGTAAAAAATCAACTTCATCGTTTTATATTTAATAGCATCACGCTGTAAAATAGTTTGCTTGTCTCTTAATTACTGAGAATTTAAGCGGCACCAACAATTAAAACTGCTTACTAAGTGTCAGTAATTTACAGTAGAAACAAGATATATAGCGCACGCAGATCACAATTCTGTTGCGATTCACAAAATTCATCAAGATGAGTTTGTACATGAGAATAGTCGTGCTGGCACTTGTCTACCTGTTCAACGGAGTGGAATCGTCTCAGGAGATCATGAAACAATTATCTTTGAATTTCGGCAAAGCTTACGACAGCTGTAAGAAGGAAGTAAGTCTCGAATTCTCGTTGACAGGTTCGAATTAATTAACAAGATTGTTTAGGTTGGGCCTGATGCCATTGGGCTTATAAATTTTGATTTTATTTCAATTTTCTTTCATGTGCTAAGTTATTAAATAACTTAAACGAAACGATTGGATTTGTTACAAGTTTACTCGCAAATGGAAAGAAGTTAAAGTTTTCTTCACTTTTTAATATACAATCTGATGTTATCGAAGTAATGTTAAATCAATGCTTTGCTTTAAAAAATACATTATCAGATATCATAAATGCATTGAAGATTGAAAAGCAAATTAAGTCTAATCATCTTCTACAAGAAAATATCATTGAGACTTTTAGTGCGGCAGTCGGTCGTTCTTCTCACTGTCACCGTAAAACCTTGCTACATCAAGAGCCTTTAATTGTTCCTACCCAGCTGGAGCTGCCCAACGAAGTGGACACGGATTTCTTTAACTTCTGGAAGGAGGACTACCAGCTGACGAACCGGCTGACAGGCTGCGCCATTATGTGCATGTCCAACAAGCTCGACCTGCTGGACCCGGATGGCAAGATGCATCATGGCAACGCGCGCGAGTTCGCCAAGAAACATGGCGCCGGTTAGATTTACTTTTATCACACCCTGAAGAACTGTGAATACTTCCTATGTTATCTTTTCAGATTAGGAAGATATTCTGTAAAAGAAAAATTGACTACAGAATACCTAAATGGCGAGAAACACAACATTGGAACTGAAATGTATTTAGTTAATTAATTAAATGCAAATAGCCCAAGTTGTTAAATTCCAGGCAGATTAAAAAAGTATTGAGCGCTATGAGCTGGCTAGTGTACGGCTTACTGTACTGCCAATATTGTTTTCAGACGACAGTTTTAACTTTTCCAATACAAATGTTTAATAAGTAACGTTTCGTTCAGCAGAATTTATACCCAGAACCCCTAAAGTAAACCCCTAAGGCTGTCTTTGAGTCAAACTAACAATATAAATGAATGTATCTTTCTTTCTCTAATTTTATAGACGATTCGATGGCACAACAGCTCATAGATATTCTCCACAACTGCGAGAAAGGAGCATCGCCGGGCCCAGATGGTGATGCGTGTGTACAAGTTCTGGAGATATCAAAGTGCTTCAAGGTGGAGATTCACAAGTTGAACTGGGCTCCCAGTATGGACCTGATCATGGCTGAGGTTCTGGCGGACGTATAAATTCTTCTAAAGGCCCCCTTATTCTTCTCTTTTTTTAACTTTTTTTAAATTTTAACCCATAATTAAATTCTTTTTCATTACTTTCCTGCCAATCCAGATGATTTTTTTGCTGTCTACATTAGATTTGAGTTTTCTAATAGTAGGTATCCTATTGTTACCTTCCTTCTTCGAAAATACTTTAGGTTAACCATTAAGAAGTTACTTTATCTATAATAATAAGATTGGTGTAATTTGATTGTAAACTATTGTATGCAAAAAATATATATAAGCATTGTTCTTGAAATAAACATTGCGAGTCGAACTGTTCTTAAATTTCACTCAGATCCTCAAAATCTCAGATCTACCAAAGACTGAAACCTGTCCAAAATTACGTCACTTTTTTGTGAACGAATAGAATACCAATTTATTAACTTTAATAATTGTTACGGAGGAGCTCGATAACGCAGTCAGCCAGTGACAAATTTATTACCTATCCCAAGCTCTTCTGAGATCCAGAAGTCGAAATAAGCCGTTGCTCCTGTCTGCATATGCAGTCTTTAACACCCACCAATATGCACTGTATTTAGTCCATAGGGCAGGTATGTACTCCATTAGTGGAGGCACAAATGGGCTGATGCTCATTTTATTGAATTGAGACTATAATTAAAAAAACAATTGAACACTCAATCTTATACTGGCAGACTGTTAACATAATGACTTTTCGATTTGTCAAATGAAAGAGCTATGAAATTGAATTTCACACATTACGCAAGTGTAGTTATTTATAAGTATAATTTCCAAATGGTTTCAAACATGGCAATAGAATTCGCAGCAGTTTTTTCTTTGTGGATATTATGTGTGAATGCTGGTGATCATAGTAAAGCAATGAGGACTATGAGTTACAGTTTTAGTAGAAAATTGTATGATTGTAATAAACAGGTACTCGTTAATATTAAATTTTCAAACTGGCCATTATTATAATATTATGTTTCCTTTGTCAACAAGGAACACGTATAGGTTCGCCATGTCTGTCTGCAGATTATTATCTTTGACACTACTAGTAGAAAAAAAAATTTTTTGCATGAATATTTAGTTTAATATTCTGCTATTGCTTCTGCTGTGAAACAGAGCAGTCTAACATAGAGGCAGCAAGAGAAGGACGGAATAGGGAAGAACTATCTATGACAGACCATGCGTCCCCAATGCTTACTAGAAGGTTCTAACGACTGCAAAACCAACTGTAGCACTTGGCACTCGCAAAAGTATCTTTACTTCTACGATCACAGACCAAACGCGTTATCCATAGCACTTTCGAGACTTTCAAACTAATATTAAATTAAATATATAAGTAAGTCTATATATATAAAACTCAATTGTGTCTAACATACTGATTTATCAACGCACAGCCCAAACCACTGGACGAATCGGGCTGAAATTTGGCATGCAGGTAGATGTTATGACGTAGGCATCCGCTAATAAAGGATTTTGATCAATTCTACCCCCAAGGGGATAAAATAGGGAATGAAAGTTTGTATGAAACTTTGTCAATTTTAAACCGATCGGGCTGAGACTTTGCATGCAGGTATAAGAAGAATCATAGATGAATGTCATTGTGTATAATACAAGCCTGAGAACAAAAACTTTTGTCTACACTTCAGCTCTACACCGAAGCGAAGCGAGGACGGTCCGCTAGAAAACTTATAAAATTAAATATACCAGCAATCCACAGTGAATGAACCTAAACTATAGCTTGGTCCAAAACTTGCGTATTTTCAGTAGCCTATTAGAGAGGATGTTGTCAATGATCTTCGCCACTTCTGGCGGCTGGATTACCAACTCAGCAAGAGGGCCATTGGTTGTGCTATCATTTGTATGGCCACAAAGCTGCATTTCCTCGACAATCGCGGTAACTTCATAATCGAACATGCTGTAGGTTTCACAAAGGCTGGTGGTGCTGGTAATATTAACATTTCAAACTTAATCTTAATTTACATTTATTCCCTTAAACCACTTATCATCAACACAGCTTATGTCGCATGGTTTCAATTTAATCTCGTATTGTAATCGCTAAATATTATGTAGGTAATGTGCAGGTACCAAAAACCATTAGTGTGTACGATTACGACCTGGGGGCCATTCGCCTAACGGAAATGCTTACGATTTTATTTTGTTATTTCTAGCCGCCTGAGGTTTTCAAATGCCTCGCGCTCTTTTTTTTCTTTTGCATTAGTAATAACAATATTAAAAGAAACGAGCGTCAGGTATTAGAAAACCTTCGGCGGTCAGAAATAACTAAATAAAATCGAAAGCGTCAGCGTTTACCAAAGCATTTCCGTTAGGCGAATGGTCCCCTGATGCGGCGTCATTTTTATGCGCGTTCCATCGCTATATAGACCAGGGTCGATAATTTTAAAAATGATGAAAAGTGAAAAAAATTATAGTAGGATGAAACCCATTAGAAAAGGTAGAGAATATAACAAAAATGAAAGGAAAAATAAATTACGGGCGATCTCAGGTCGGGAAGGGGGAGGGGGTGAGTTTTTAAGGGTAAAAAATGGTTAATCTCGATTTCCGGTAAAACTGCAAGTCCTATGAAAAAAAGTCAAATGGCAAAGTTGTAGGTAATAAAAAGATCTACTCGAATCCGAAAATCCTATTTTTAATACCTACTTACAACAACTATTTTTGCATGTTTTATGGATTTGTAATTTTTCTGTTCATCAATATAATATGAAATCTTACGTTTTTCGAGTAATTAAAGTGTAAATTTTAATAAATAGTTCAAAATTATACATAATGATTCAAATCAATTTTTCGGATTGGAGTTTTTTTCATTATTAATTTGCAGTTTCTGAGAACATTTACCATAGTAGTGGATATTTTTTTTATACCATCAGAAAGTAGAGATTTCAACAAACAAAAAACACCCCAACTTTTTTAAAAAAGCAGATATTTTGACGTGAGAATTTTCGATTGAAAATAAGGGTGCTTTTTCGATATTAAGTCAAAATAAGGTGAAAAAATGAATATTTTAAATCAGAAAAATTACTGTATGTTTGGGAAATACAAAGGTAAGTTTTCACCAAATTTCGTGAAAAAATATTTTTTTTTGCAAAAAAAATGGTTGCCTGTAAAGTCGGTTTTACGGGCGAAGATTTTACGTGACAACGTCTTTTTCTCGGTAGAATATTTATTGATATGAATATAATTAAATTGCACAATAGGAACAAGGAATTGAATGAAAATAAGAATTGCACAAATTTTAACTATAGAAATATATTTTGTTTACTAAAACATTGTACATGTAAACTTAAACTTAACACGAGAGACTCATCGTAACGTTACCGAGCGTTACACTTTTTCATAAGTGACTCCCAGCCGCAACCTAATTTAAGACGTTGTCACGTCAAAAATAAAAATCAAAAACCAAAAACTCGGTTATTCACATTTTTACATAAATTTTGAGGTTATGTGAAAAAAGTGTCGATACAAAAGTTGTAGATCTTTTTAGTACCTACAACTTTGCCATTTAACTTTTTTCATAGGACTTGCAGTTTTACCGGAAATCGAGATTAACCATTTTTTACATTTAAAAACTCACCCCCTCCCCCTTCCCGACCTCAGATCGCCCGTAATTTATTTTTCCTTTCATTTTTGTTATATTCTCTACCTTTTCTAATGGGTTTCATCCTACTATAATTTTTTTTGGTCTCAAAAATTATCGACCCTGGTCTAATACCACGTAAAGTGTTCTGAGGAATTATTCCCTCTTATATCTCTCTATATTACAAGATAAATAAAAAATATCACAGATTAATCAATAATGTAAAATTTCAATGTAATTATACAACAATTTATTTATTTCATTGGAACAGTGTATTTCTTTACTGATTCTCATTTGATCTATTTTTGAGTAGAACATCCATAGATGATTGGTCTCGCTTTACTCGACACTAGAACGAACATTCATCTATGGCTAAATCTTTATTTCCATTGACATTGTCATCAAGATTTTATTTTGTCTGCAGATGATGAAATGTCTGATGGCATACTGTCTCTGATAGCGGAGTGTCGCAATTCGACAAAGTCGCAGGACCCCTGCAATATGGCTTTGAATATTGCTAACTGTTTTCGAAACGGAGCCCAAGACCGACACTGGGTACCTAATATGGGACCCATATAATAATAAAGATAAGAACATCTTTTATAATATATTTTATTTAGAAACTACTAATGTTGTATTCATTTTCTATATATTTTCTTTAATTTATATTTTTATTCAAGAAGATATCGATTAAATGGATACGGCTATTATAGTATTTTCCCTAACATACTATTTTTACTTTGAAATTTACCGTGAGAAGAATACTCAAATATTTGACCACCTACTTAGTTCAGCCTTTACATCTAGCGACGCAATTATAAAACATTTGGATTCAACACCTAAAGTCAGTGCACAAATGTAATTTAGAAGTAAAACCTCTTTATTAACACACATTTTGGTTCATTACTCATCAAGGTTACTTACTATTTTAGACTCGATCTGGATTTGTGACAAAAGATTTGGAATAATAATTTTATTTTCAATTAATTTAAGAGAGGTATGGCACAGCGGATTTTACTCTCGAATTAAAGCCCTCCTGTAGGGAAGCAATTCCACCATACAGAAGACCACAGCAAAATAACACTTACCTCTTGTTGTGTTTCCCTACTTATGAGCAGGGGGCCAATCGCCTAACTGGATTGCTTTGGAAAACGCTATCGCTTACGATTTCATTTTGTTATTTCTAGCCGCCTGAGGTTTTCAAATGCCTCGCGCTCTTTTTTTTTCTTTTGCATTGGTAATAACAATGTTAAAGAAATTGTAAGAAATGGTATTTGAAAACCTTCGGCGGTTAGAAATAACAAAATGAAATCGTAAGCGATAGCGTTTTCCAAAGCAATCTGGTTAGGCGATTGGCCCACAGGGCTCCAGGGATCAGGTCGGCAAGGTGAGAATGACTGGAGCGGCACACCTTCTGCCGCATGATCTGTCTTCGCGACTGGACCCCACTTAAACTCACCATCAGATGAAATGGGGTAATTTGTTACGCTTCGTCTAATAAAAGTCACAAATCATGGCTACTCTTTTATTTAAAAAAATATGTGAAATCTTCATATTAATAGCCGCAGCTGATTTCCCGCACGGATTGGATTGCAACACCATCTTAATGAGCAGAGGCAGTACAGCAGTACCTAAGTTATTTCAAAATAATAAAAAATACTGTAATATAGTGTACTGGGGCCCAATTCTCGCGGCATAGATATTATATCACCTTCGATATATATCGAATGATCTGGCTTTTATCGAAGGAAAACCTTTTTGCCCTATTCTCACCACGTCGCAATAGATATTTATCTACGGATGATCAGTAGACATACATCGACTGGTAAAGAGCCTTCGATATATAAATATCTATGGATCTTGGCATGTCAATCTTGTTATTTCCAATTTTTTACCTATTATTTATTGTGTTGTCGTGTGTCATTGTCAATTATTGTTACCTCAAGATGTTGTTAACTGCCTTCATAAAGAAGTAGGTAAACAATGGTGTCGATTCTGGCGTGATTCTCTAAACTTAAAACTAAATTCAACATCAGTCTCTCTTTTTCATTCTGTATAGAGAATGACAAAGAAGCACTGTTGTCAAGTTTAAGTTTATTATAAGATAGATAAGATTTAGAGAATCGTGCCAGAATCGACACCCTGATCGGGGAGAGGTCAGATTTCCATAGAAAAGTTAAGGGAGATAGCGTTCAGGCTGATAAGGGGAGGATGATTGGTAGCTATTAAGCTTAGCGTCAATCAGCTGGATAATTAAAGGCATGACAAAGATAGAGAGAAGACGAAGGGGGGTGGCGATTAGCCCATGACGCTAATTTATATAGTGAAAATGGGTTGCGATAAGAAACATCGTTTGTATATGGCACATTTTCACTAACCTTCACCTTCCATATCCTCCCGGGACCCCGGTACTACTGCCCCCTATCGGCAGATCTACTGGAGATCTCAATTAATATCGTTTACAAAGAAGAAGGTATAAGCTAAAGGAAATGCAAGAAGAGCGCTTCACTTCATCAGAAATGTCACCTACGCAGTTTGCGACATGGTGTTATTTTTCCACGTCCACGTGAAGAAAATAGCGATTTAGTATATCTTCTATAATAAAGTAAACTATTGCGTATATATGTCATGTACCTCCGAAATGTTTATTAATAACTCCTATTTAAGTACCTCTCAATCTCGAGCTATTCGTAAGTGGAATTCATTGACCACGCACATGTTCCCTCCTTCCTACAATCTGGGGTCCTTTAAGAGAAGAGCATGTAGAAGCATTTTCGTAGGCCGGCAAGGTAAGGATGGTTGGTGTGGCAGTTTTTCACTGCTGTACCAGCTATCTTCGCGTTTGGACTTTATCACCACTTTACATCAGGTGGGGTAGAGTCATTTGCCTACCTGGCTATAAAAAAAAAGTTCAATCATCGTGTTTGAAGTATGTAGATAACCGTTAAATTGTTATTGGAAAGGTATCATGATTGGAGTTAAAATTAGGCATAGCCTTTGCCCAATTTTATTGTGAAAAAGTATAACACATTATTTTGTATTTTGCTACATATTTGTTTGCGACTTAGCTGTAGCATAGTCTCGTGCCCACGGAACTTAGTAAGTCACTGCAACTTACACGAGCAGCAATTTGAATAAATTCATTGTTGCATCGAATTGTCTTGTCACTTTAACTGAAACGACTTTGTGGCAACCGTTTAATCTAATTGAGGTGCAGTAACCGTTAATTAAGAAACAGCTGAGATGCTGACTTTACTCATATATAAGTTCTATAACATTGTCAGATTGCGCTTTAACCCACTTAATAAACATGGTGCAACACATAGCTATTTTTGCCCTCATGATATTGTCCGCAGTTAGTGTCAGGGAAGTTGAAATGGTACCTGAATACTTCAAATCAATGAGTCGTAGTTTACTGGAAGTACTGAAGACGTGTTCAACTGAAGTAAGTTATGGAACTTTTACTCATATTAAGCATTTATAGCACTATTTGCAACCCCTGAGGAAGTATCAATATTGCCTCTATGAGCCTAGACGAGCAATAGACACTCTTGATGTTGTAGACTATTCCTTAGATATTTATGAATCATAATAATACAATGTTTCTCACATAAAATTCAAAATTCAATATCGTTTATTCAGTCTAGGCTGTTACAAGCACTTGTGAATGTCGAAAAGCTACGCCATCGGTTCGCAAATCTACGGCGGGAGACCTTGTACTGAGAAGAACCGGCAAGAAACTCAGCAAGGGCTGATTTTTTCCCTGTTTTATTTCATACAGTGTCGTCCAATTGAAAGTTGACATCAAACTTGCAAACATGTGTTGAGGTCAACTTCCATTAAATAATGTCAAATATGTAACAATAGACAATCCACTAATTTACTAACAATAGGTGCAAAGAAAAGTCTCAAAATAGCAAGAAACAATTTTCAAAACAAAATGAACAAGTATATCGTCAAACACCTGATGCTTGAAACAAAATTATTTATATCTTAAAGTAAAGTCTTGTAGTTAATTTGCGTCGGGCTTATCAACAACAATTCTTATTTCTCTTTAAAAACTCTGCGAAAATATTCATAATGGTTGTGGACTTCACAACTTGCAGCTCGAAATAAAGGACGGTATTATGTATGAGATCTACCAACTCTGGAAGGAGAACTATGACGGGCTGAGCCGGGAAACTGGCTGCGTGCTGCATTGTATGAGTCAGAAATTAGATCTGTTCAACGTGCAAGGCAAATTCGAGCATGGGAATACTAAGGAGTTTATCATGAAACATGGCGCTGGTAAAAGCTATTATTTTTAAGTATTTAAGAAAATGATTAGCTTTCTTTGTTTTAATGATAAATAAACTATTCAAATTTAGGATTTTTGAACCTCATTAGATATTTTGAGGTTTTTATTTAGTTACGTCTTTCCAGAACCAGAACGTTTCGTTCACGCAAGAGTAGTTCACGATTTTTTGTTAACTCTTAATTGAGTTAACAAAAAATAATGATTTTGTGTGCATTAACAAAAAATATGATTTTGTGTGCAATTACTATAAAAACAGTGAACTTAACTATTTTTCTAAACTTAATTATTTTTGGTCCTCGTCCTTAGTTCTCATAGAGCAATCCGGCAGACGTCGCGATGCTAGTTCTATGACAATTTATTTTCGTATATGTTTGAATATTCTAGATTCAAGTACGGCTACTCAACTAGAAGAAATGGTTCATATTTGTCAGCATAAAGTTGGTGAAATGGCTGATGAATGCCTTCGAGTATTGGAGATGGCAAAATGCATACGTGGTAATTTGACCCAAATCAACTGGAATCCGAATATGGAGGTTGCAGTAGAAGAGATTGTAGCAGAAGCTTGAATTTTGTCTCCGATGTATTTTATATTAAAAGCGAGTAAATTAAATATGTTGGTTTTTTTTAAATAGTGAGTACAAAGTCTGAAATAATATTCTAACTAAAATACCAATTTTCAGAAAACAGATTAGATTGGAAAAAAAAAATTATTTCGAAACCCTTTTTAGAATAATTATTCCAGTGTCGTTTTATCTTATGTTTTCTCTGTCGATGATGGTGATTTTTACTTGTAAATTAGTTGTCTTAAGGAATCATATACAATGTCTTGACAATATCTATTATTTTTAATAGCTATTATTACAACTTGTAATAATAATAATAAAATAAAAATAAAAAGTATTTTTAATTAACATAAGTGCATACAAAAAATCCACGCGGACCAGGCAGCAGACGGGACTCGAACCCGCACCCTTCGCAATCCGGGCGAATGCACTGACCAATTATGCTACCGCGGCCCTCACGGACTGCGTCGAAATTCTTTCTAGCTATTCTTAAGCTGCAAGGCAGCGCCATCTCTTCGCATTATAGGTAAACCCACAATGTCTGCTGCCTGGTCCGCGTGGATTTTTTTCTAGTTATATTTTCTTTAGATTTAAACATCAAGCAGTTACATGCTTTAAAAATAATAAAAATTATAACTATAAGTGCATACAATTAAAAAACGATAAAACGGTCCCAGTAAGTAATTATAAAATACTTGTGTTGGGCCTGTTTTGCTCCAAAACCTTTGTAGCTAGTGAACAAAAATATGTATTTAGAAGAAGAAAAATATGTATTATTATGTATTTATTGCACAATTTAAAACAAGCCAATCATCTTTAAGTCAATGCATGTGAAGAAGTGTGTGAGCATGATTTGTTGAGAGTGTGGTATGAGGAGGTGTGTGTTGTAAATATACACACTTCAAAAAAAGTTTGAGATTACTTGCAAAAGCTGATATATTTTCTAAAAATTAAATTAAGCAAGAGAAAATGTTTACGTTATATTTTTTTTTATTTAAAATACAGTTTCTGAAATTAAAAAATAAAATTAATTTTATTTTTTAGTGTGAAAAATGTAATAATTCAATCCTAAGGCGATTGTAATAGAACTTTGATAGAAATGAAAAGATAGTTTAACCAAACTTTGAAATCTTTTATTAATAAATTGTTCTTCTTCGTCTTCGTTCTCTTGGTCTTCTTCGTTTTACCGGAGCCTAGCCCACTGTAATCTCCGTCGCTGACGTTCCCGTGAATTCAAAGGTGCTCGCTAAGACCTCCGTAATTCAGCCTTGTGTAATTCCGAATGGTCTGAGTGCTGACCTCAAGTCCGGAGGCGGCCCGTATTTCTGCTTTTAATTTAGTGGCGTTTATTGTTGGGTCGCGCGCTACCAGCAACCTGATGTAGCGCTTCTGAGCAGCTGTCAAAACAGTTAGGCGACCGCTGCGGGGTCGATCAGCTAAATTACCCATGCCGTGGTACCTCTGCAACGGATTACTACACAGGATTGGGATATGGCAACTCTGAGTGCTATTTCTCTCGTAGAATAGCCTTCTTCTCTCAAAGTTACAATTCTGGCTCGAAAACATATGATAATCCTCGTGGCATTTTTGAAATCACAACTTTCCGTGAAAAAATATTTTAAACTTGATAATATTGAATAAATCAGATTTCTGAATGAGTGTCAGCTTGGATTGCATGTCTTTTTATATGGAAAAACAATTGAATTATTTTATTGTTTTACGTTCTAATTCTAATTTAAAAATTTAGAATCTTATCAGAAAAATAAATTACAAAAAAGTCTTCTGTAACACAAAAAAAAACAATCTATTTATTGAAGTGATCGCGAAGTTTTTTTGTTGTATGTATTTAGTATTTTATTGACTTTATTATAAATAAACACAGATTGGTTACTATACTTATATAACTTGTATGGATGTTATAGTCTGTGTAGCCGATTCAATAGCGTTTTATTAAATTAGTCATAGCCACAAACTAAAACAAATTATTATTTAATTCAACATATTACGTAATAAGCCTTTAACTAATTATTAAGTGTTAGGTGACCTTAAATCCATAAATAAAGTTAATAGCTACTAAAAAAATATAAACAAATTAATCAATAGTTATCTAGGACACGTTGACATGTGTTTTATGAGTTGAACAACTTTGAATATTAATTTTCAGTGTACATCGCAGCATTCTTCACGCTCCCAAGCCTAAGGCAGATAATTGCGCTATAATTCTGTTTGTATCTCACTCATTAATGGTGACAGGACAATCGGGTCTTGTCGTCACTGCATCCAGACTCGGCCAGACTTAATCGAACTCCGATGTAGCGATAGACGAAGCTTTGTTGGTGCGAATTAATGCACTCCGTGTCCGTGCTTGTATTGTTCCAGTAGATTTATGAAGAAAACTGGGATTGGCTTGTTTAGACAAGCGTAGGTAAGGCTATTGTACCATCTATTAACAAGGTTCTATGAATTCTCGATTAGAATGTTGTATGGGGATAATATAATTATCTGGAGTTGATACCGTAATTAATAATTAACGCAATAGGTACCACATTAAATCTTGATTGATCAAGATATCATTGATTATTCAGAAATATAACCATGACTGGTGATGATATAACCATGATGTAAGCTGACTGCTAGGATATGACTGTTAAAGGACGAAACGTGTGTCCATTAATTAGATAAAATGAATTACAAAGATACTTAATAAAAAAAAACAAAATACAGTGCATGTATCGTACTATCGAAAGCTTATCTGCGGGCGAAATACTGTTAGGAACCTATCTCTATATTTTTAAAGAAAATCATAGGCTCATCTAAATACCAAACGTCTTCATATATCGGTACATTTATTATATTGGTATATTATAGCTATTAACGGGATTGTTACCATGTACCTTGTTTTTTATGAGTCTCCGATATTTCGGCACTGTTGCAAGCGCCAGGATCACGGAGTAACTCACGGAGATCACGGAGATTCTTAAAAAACAAGGTACATGGTAACAATCCCGTTAATATCTATAATGTTAGTGACCATGAAAGTTTAAAACAATATATATTGGTATCTTCCATTTAGTTACCTATCTCATCTATGGCGTGAATTGATAACCTATTCTAAAATCTAATCTTGAAAGAGATGAAGCTGGGTCTGAATCATATTAATTATTAGATCTGAGATTATAAAAAATCAGATCCCGTCATATGTTTTCTTTACAATACAACAATAGGGTAAATAAATGAGCCAATCATCGAAGCACCATTTCCTTCAGGACTTGAAATTGAACAGCTATTGCAGCGGAATAAGAAAACTCCTAAATTCAATCAGACGGGGACAGCCCACAATTTATAGGAGCAACGGGAGGCAACGACGCGCCTATGAAATACAAACGGCTAAACAACAAGTGCTCGCCTCTAAATCTCGTCTCCCTCAGGGACACACACCTGGGTCCTGTTTATCGTCGCACTGAGGGGAATGCTAAACAAACACACGTGTTTTTTCCCCCTTTTGCAGTATCTGGTAATCGTAAGAGGAGAGATTTTACGATATGAGTAATAGAATTGCTTTTCTTTGCTGGTGGTGTTGGAAATGTCTTTGAAAAATTTCGTATCTATTATAATAATAGTGGTAGCTATTTGTGTTTAGATTTTGCAATTACCTTTTAATTTTTCTTATTTAAATATTACCAATTATTATCTTTTGCTACCAAGCAACTGCTCCTGTGGTATATTTTTGTTTAATGACTTATATGGTTTAAATGACATATTGAAAGTGAAAAGTTGATCAAACATTTTCTTTCGGACTTTCGAAAAAAGCATTTGAAATTAAAAGTATCTTGAGTTTTTATTTTCTTATTACATGTAATTGTTTATACTTCAGCTGCATCGGAGATCTTTAATTTAGTTTTATTATATTAAAATTATATACTAAAATAATTATCGGTAAATATAATATCTTTTAAAACCAAACTGCGAAGCTTTTTAATTCAATTCATTTATTGCAGACCATAATGGAGATACAAAGGTGGTTAACATATAGATAAAAAGTGCATTATGGACCCTGTAGTGTAGGGTATCGCAATTGCATGATTTTATTAGAAGGCGTTTCATTGAGTGGTTTGACGTCATTATTTTGTATTTATTTTGGAAGTATGTATGTATTTGTGTATTTATTTAAATATATTGACTTATGTATGTGTATGTTTATATATTATTATTTTTATAAACTTTCTTTCAATGTGATTTCCACTTCAGTTGTGCACCCTACCACTTATAATCTCCACAACATCCTATGGTTGACTGGTAGAGAATGCCTACGGCATTAAGTCCGCCATTGTACATTTGTGCATAAAGAATAAATAAATAAAGTAAAAAATAAATAAATTCATGAAAAGTAATATAGATATTTAAAAAAAGACATCTAAAATGTATAAATATTTATTTCATCACACAATCATAGGTTTGGAAGAAGAGCCGCTTATCTATCTTTGGAGTCCGTTTTACATCGCAACTGATCATGTTCCTTTCATTTGGTTAGGAAACCCTGGAATTAACACAAAATAATAAATAAATGAAAAAAAAGAACAACTGTATTTGAATTGTCCAAATTTCTTCTTTTTCTTACAGTAAGGTCATTGTGTACATTACAAAGGATGGAGGAAAGTATCGTCTAAATAAAATGCAGATAAAAATCATTTACGTCTGAAATTCAATGTACGTATAATAAAAAAATCCCACAGGATTCACCTGAGTCAAGAATCATCATCATCATCATTATCATCAGCCTATTAGTGTCCCCATGTGCTGGGGCACAGGCCTTCCCTATGGATGGAATAAGGAGATTGGGCCATGACCCAGCATGAGCGCCCAGTGCGGATTGGCGAGTGCTAACGACTGCAGATGCAGCCGGGACCAACGGCTTAACGTGCCTTCCGAAGCACGGAGGAACTCGAGATAGTAAATTTTTGGTCACCCATCCAATGACCGACCACTGCGAAAGTTGCTTAACTTCAACGATAGCAGCCAAACTCGCTAACCACTTGCGCCATCGAGCTCCTCGAATCATACTGACCTCAAATTGCTTTGGTAGCCACGAGTTCGTTTATGATGACCTCCATGTTAGGTGCCCATTTGAGCTCGTGCATATGTCCATGGAAACACTTGGCTATTTCACGGACTCTGTCGCAGTGGTCAGAGATCGCTTCATTTTTGATCTCACAGCCACGGAGTATATTCATTATTTGCGATACGGTTTCGTCGTCTGGAAGAAAAACAAACATATTTTTGGAGTTTACTCCTTAAGAATCGATTTGCATATATAAGGGGCCCGGCATGAGAAAAATGTGAGGAGTAAAATCTATCCATGAATGACTTAATGACCTCGTTACGTTTTTGTGCGCAACCTCATCTGCGCACCTTTCACTTTTAGCCATGGCAACGGATAAAAAACATTGAGTTGTCACAAATATCAATAAACTAAAAATAGATAAAATCGGAGCAAAATTAATGAAAACAAATAAATAACAGAATATAGAGAAATGCCGGTAAGTGTCCAGCACTCTGGAATAGTGATTTTCAGTACAGATGGAATTATAATACATATTTACAAAACGATGACTAGTGTGTGATATTTTTGAAATTGTGTGTTTCCAGAAATACGTAATAAAATATATGACGAATATCGCTGATGTTAGATGGTAAAATGTGTGACATGGAACCTATGATAGTCGAAACCATGGGGCGATTCCTGAGGTGTTTCTACTTGTAACCGACTTCTTCGGATTTGATTTTGTTTTGTGTCTGTTCAAAGACAATCGTTTTTAGAGTGTAAACTCCGTCGGCGTCGCAGCTGACACACACATTTTTTTTATCTAGGGGCTCTATTTTTATCTACTAATTTTGTGTACAATCGTCGTGAGAATTATGAATTATGACTTTGCAGGATTGCAAAGTATGCGAAACGTCAATAAATAAATAAATCAGTGCATCTATACCGTTGAAACTTGTTTTATTTAATGAGTGGTGGGCGTGAAAACCTAAGAAACAAATAATTTTGTAAAAAATATTTTTATTTTGGACAATAAATCGCGGATTTCATTTATTCCTAAGGTAATACTTTTTTGATTTGTTAATTTAGTTTTAGGTTTATCATTTTTAAATAATCTGACACACTCACACACAAAGGATTACGTGACTATTGAGCCTACAACAACGCATTTCGTTTTATATTTCAATCATGTAAGTCTAACAACTGCTAATTCCGAGAAAGAAAAACCAAATGAACAATGTTTCTTGTATGGGAGACTACCTCGATTTTTAATTTATAACAGCAATAGGAACACATGGTGTCGAGAACCTTGGTCCGTTAGTCGACTTCGCTGGTGACCGAAGAGCTGGCAGCTACCTCAGACAACGAATTAGTCTAGCTATTAAAAAGGGGAACGCTGCCAGTATCTTCGGAACCTTGCCTAAAGGGACTCCTTTTAGTAATATATTTTAGTTATTATGTTATATTTTTTAAGGTTTTTAGTTTAAGGTTCATTGTTCCTGTATATATTAATGTACATATATTTATTATGAAATACATAGGAAAATTCATTGTTCGAAAATGTCGACTTGTTATACGTTCCTTAATAAACTGTCCATTGAACAGACTGATGGCAACTCAGTAATAGGTTCCGCTGTAGGTCTTTTTAAACGGTACCCTAAAAATCTTGTCTCAACAAACATGAATAAAGAATTTTAAAGTATAGATAGTAAAAAGATAAGACTGTCTAATTATACCTGCCCCGTGTTTTTTCACGTATTCGTTAGCGTTGTCAGGGTGAAGTTTGTAAGTTTCCAACTCGATGAGATCCAGTTTACTGACCACGCACAGGATCACGCAGCCCAGCTCACGGTGAGACAGATCAGTATCCTGGTTCCAGAACGTCATGAGACTCTGCAGCACTTCCTCAGGGACGGACAACTGAAAGATTCAGATTGAGAAACGAAAATGCTTATTGAAAGACTTTACGAGAGAATCACGAACACACATGTGTAAGGATGCCGCCACAAATGATAATGCCTTTGTAGGTTTTAGACTCACTATATTATATTAACCAACTTTAGTTAAACACACGGAATTACAACGGAGAACAATTGCCTCTATGATAGACGCACGAAGACTGCCCCGTCAGCCAAGAAGTGACCGCCCTTTTTATTCACGGCGTGGAACTTAGTGTTGCCAACTTATAATTTTACTTTTACCCAAAATAATGCCAGTCGTGGCTGTATGAAACTACGATAATCAATCGATACTTTACGGAATTCAACTTTTTAAAAGGAAACCTTACACATGTTATTACAATACAATACACAATACTTTATTGAAAACACCACAACACAGAACAGAAATGAGGGAAATTACAATTGTAAAAAAAGAGTGCTTCAATGGGCGGTCTTATCGCTAAAAGCTTCCAGACAACCTTTGGATGGAGAGGATTGAAAGAAAGTTAGAGTCGGCGGTGTCAGTAAAAGAAACAAGGTATATAAACGAATTTATGAATTAAATATACATATTATATATACATACATATTATACAATACATAGAGTACACATATATATAAGTTTAGACCAGTCAGCAGAGATAAAAATGCAGCTACATCGACAAAATGTGATTTACAACTAGAGTTTTAAAGACATTAATAGATTGCGCTCGTCTTATGGATACAGGAAGAAAATTCCATAGACGTACAGTTTGGACGTTAAACTACCATAGAAGGTCGTGTCATGGATAGGAATGTTATTGTGTGATAGTTTATTGTTATTTGATGTTTTGACGATTTAACACCCAAAACAAGATGTAGCATGTTTTTTTATGTGCTAGGTATTATAATGTGTCTGTGTAGCGTCTTTGAATTCAATAAAAGTAAATTTAAATAAAACTTCGCTTTTGGCTCTATATATACTCTTTCTTTTATCCTTACATGGCTCTGCAAGTACTTGCTCGATGATTTGGATAGGTTACAGCGGCGCGCGATCCACATCATAGGTGATGAGGAGGTGACTAAACATCTCGAGCCTCTTCAATTACGCCGTGACGTGGTGTCACTAAGTGTGTGCTATCGAATGTACCACGGCGAGTGTTCTGAGGAGTTATTCTTTCTTATTCTACCTCCCCCTTTCATTCAGACACCACGCGCGCTGGCTTACTTTGTCACCGTCTCACTATGGCCACAATTCCAATGCGTACAAAGAAATTTGGTGACTCATTTCTTTTTCGCACTGTCCATAAATGGAATGCTCTGCCCGCTCACGTGTACCCTCTTCTTACAACCTGGGATCCTTAAAAAGAGGCGTGAAGGAGCACCATGCAGGCCGGCAGGGTGAGGATGGCGGCTGTGGCAGGAAGAACTGCAGTATCAGCTATATTCTCGTCTGGACTTCACCGTTACTTAACATCAGGTGGGGTAGAGTCATTTGTCGGACCTGTAACCTATCCAAAGCATCGAGCAAGTACTTGGCGGAGCCATGTCAGAGGTGCAAGCAATATTCCACGCAGGACCGCACTTGCGTTTTGTACAACAACCACAGTTGATCGGTCGTGAAAAAAACGCCGCACCTTGTTCAGGACTGCGAGTTTGCGTGAAGCTGTTTTGATCACGGTTTCGATGTAGTCCTTTGGATTCAGGTCTAAGCGAACTTCCATGCCGAGCATGGAGACGTTGCTCTGGAGCGGTAGTGTTGTGCCCTGAAGAGAGGGAAGCGGAAGGAAAGGAATTCTTACCTCAAGTTTACATTCCTGCAAGACTTTCAAGAAACTAATACTCATCTTTTTTATGAGTTCCTGTGAGGATTCCACGTCGGACACCATCACATTGAAACAAACTAAGATACCAAACAGGCAGCATTTCATGCTGGCTGCCATTTGGTCGCGTTTCAAGACTCGACTACCCAAAAATAACAACCATGCTGGTTTTTATTATTAATCACCAGTTACCAAGATTGAAGATCAATGTTGATTAGTGTGCTAATTGTACTTGTGAAATAATTGTCCGGACTGCAACATGTCTGTCATCAAATTGATTTAATTGACGTTTTAAATGGCACTTGCCATGACCAGACTACTCATTGAATTCACTCGAATGATTACACAAAAATATAGAATTGAAATATTCTAGATCTTTGTAATGGGGATCATTACTAGGTCAGCAAATCAAATCAAAATCAACAGTATAATGATCTAATAAGCTTTTTAATTAATATACTTTTGAGTCATCGCAATGGGTTAATTCGTTGGGATTTTATAAATAACTATTGGCCTGCCCTCGCTTCGCTTCGGGGTAGAATTGATCAAAATCCTTTTTTAGCGGATGCCTACGTTATAACATCTACCTGCATGCCAAATTTCAGCCCGATCCGTTCAGTGGTTTGGGCTGTGCGTTGATAGATCACTATGTCAGTCAGTCACCTTTGAGTTTTATATATATAGATTTTATGGTAGCCATTATTCACCGGCAGCCGAAACGTGTGACGTCGCAGAGCTCGATCGTGGTTAAGTCTGGTCGAACTTTTCTATTCAAGCTCTAAGACCACACAGCCACCACGTGGCCAGCCGAAAATTCGTTTAAAAGGTACATTGGAAGATATACGGAGCTCCGTAAGATGATCGCGTAGTCAAAAACAATATAAGGCGTTATTTAAACATTGAAAGTCACCTTTACTGCATACTGTGTAAGGTCTAAATTAAAACGCTTCAAAGAGTTATGTCAAGCTCGTAAAATTTGACGACTACAAAATTTTAAGAGACGGCAATATAACCAACCATGTATTTGATTATGACAAATATTTTCTGTTAAATCAGTTTACAGTAAGTATTAAAACAAAATTTGCTTCAAATGCGTTAAATTAACAAACATTGGGTAGACACTTATCGAAAAAACGACACTTTACGTACTATAAGCATTTTTTTTGGCATTTTTTCATGGAGCTGCATCTTGACTTTTCAACGGTCCGCGCTTGACTGTGAACCAAGAAGTGCTTGAGTGGTGTTCAAGCACTTCTTGATTGGGACACAGTTTGAGCGCACGTGGTTTATCTAGGGTATTTAATATCGTTGGATTGGTAAGACTGGGGAAAAGAAGCAAGCCAGAACAATAATCATAAATCCTATATTAAATTTCTGTTTTAGTAAACCCCTAACAAATAAAATATTAGTTTGAATCTAACGACCTCCTAAACGACCGACAATACGGCTTTCGCCGGAATCGGTCCACGGGTGACCTTCTAGCGTGCGCCACGCACATATGGAGTGAAGCCATCGAGAAGTACGGGGAAGCTCTAGCAGTTTCTCTCGATATTTCCAAAGCCTTCGACAGGGTCTGGCACGACGGTCTTATTAGCAAGTTATCCTCATACGGCCTGCCTACTGGGCTTTGTGCATGGATTTCAGACTTTCTGAGGGATAGGTCTATTCGAGTTGTAGTGGATGGTTGCTCCTCGGATCTTTGGGCTATCAATGCCGGTGTCCCCCAGGGGTCGGTACTCTCTGCAACGCTGTTTCTACTGCACATTAACGATCTGCTAAGACCCGGTATCTTTGGGTATGCAGACGACAGCACAGTTGTAGAGAGCTATATATCCACCGCGCGAGCCAGTGCGACAGAAATCCAGTCCCATAGGGAGGCCATGGTCGAGCGCTTGAGCCTTTCTCTTTTGGCTGTCTCCGATTGGGGCGATGCCAATTTAGTTGGGTTCAATGCTGCGAAAACCCAGGCGTGTCTTTTCACAGCAAAAAAGACGCCATTTAATCTGGCCCCTACTTTCCGGGATGTAACCGTACCGATCAGCGACCATCTCGAGCTACTCGGTATTACATTGTCACCAACCCTCAACTTTGGCTCATACATTGAGTCCAAGGCCCAATTAGCAGCCAAGAAGTTGGGTATCCTCTCGAAGGTGCGACGATACTTCAAGCCGGAACAGTTGCTTACATTATATCAAGCACAAGTTCGGTCGTGCATGGAGTATTGTTCGCACCTATGGGATGGATCGGCTAAGTACCAACTTGAGGCGTTGGAGGCAATTGAGAAACGAGCGATAAAGCTCATTGGAAATGACACGCTTTGCCGGGCAAAGTTACAAAGCCTGGAACATCGACGCAAAGTTGCCAGTCTTTCGGTGTTCTATCGGTTGCATTTCGGTGAGTGCGCAGAGGAATTACATGAGCTAATTCCTCCCGCCCCTTTCTACTACCGGACGAGCAGGGAAACGGCAAGGCGACATCGATTCACGGTGGCAGTTCCAAAGACTCGCACTAAGCGATTCGCGTCCAGCTTCATCGTGCGGACTGCCAAACTGTGGAATTCCTTGCCTGAGCCCTTGTTCCCCGAACACTACAATCTAGCGGTCTTCAAAGCAAGAGTGAACCGGTTTTTATTAGGTAAGCGCGCTCCATCGTAGACCATAATATTGCTTTCCATCAGGCGAATTATGGTCAAGCGCTTACCTATTAATGAATAAAAAAAAAAAAAAAAAAAAAAATGTCGTATGTATACTATAAAACAACAAAGACATTATATTTCAATCACTAAAATCTATTTGCTTCTAATTGAAATAAACATTGAGTATTCCACAAAAGTTACCTAAACCAATGAAATGTATTTACTTACGATTGTGATATTGTTGTACGTGTTCACCCCACCGCAATATTCAAGTCATGTGGGCACATGTTACAATCCAGAGTTTATCTTGTGTTAATTATTACCACGGTAATTAATGACATCAGCCAATCGCGGTAAGTGCTGGATTCTCGCGTTAATTTATTGCGGGAATTATAATGATCCGCGATCAGTAATTGCCCCTCGTAGCCGACATGGGAATGTGTTTAGACCAACATTAGCTGTGATGGCTTTGCCGAGTACGCATAATATTATTTGGAGGGATGATATGAGGAGAAGTTTTAATTACTATTATCTGTAAGGATATCCCTCATTATAATATTCATATTTCTGTATTATAGAAAAGTTTATCAATATTACAATTTTGATATATTGTTTTAAACTTTCATGGTCACCAACATTATAGCTATTAAAAGAAAAAAAAATCAAGGTACATGGTAACAATCCCGTTAATAGCTATTACAATTTTGAGTCCACTAAATAGACATATTACTAGTCTACCACTGTACGGGACTTTTAAAAAAGAAACAACGGCACCTACATTGATTTTATATCTATTTGGAAACAGATCATAAATAAAGCGTAAATTTTGTGGGCTTTAGGTTATACTTATGCTACAAGTTAATGATTCTATCAAATATTAGTCTATGGATTCTATAGAATCCTTTACTATCTGACAATTGGTAGATACTTACTATCCTAGTTTCTATTTTCTATTTAAAATTGTCTTCTTTTAATATTATTTTATAATTTTACAGAAATTTGATTGATTCTTAAGAAACAATTAGTTCCCTTATTAACATTGTTATTCAATGAACGTAATGAAGATATTTTCGCCCGTTTTTTGTCACTAACGAAAAACCTTTGGATTATTTAAAAGAATTGTATTATTATTTTTCATTTCAATAGGAAAAGGTTGACTTTGATTGAAATTAAACGAATCCATAGCACCTCATACACAACATGGTTAATTAACATCGTACAGCCTTTTTGAGAAGCACATTCGTCACTTGCAGTAGTATTTAAAATAAGTATCGTTTAGAAACCTATTTCAAATGGATTGCGCGTCGCTTTTGATTAGTTGTTGATGTTTTGAGTTTTGTTAGTAAACATAACTTTAAGTTTTATAATAATATAATCTCTGTATTACTTATTTAGTTTATCATAAAACAAAAATAAAATAAATATATACTAAAATAAAAATCTTAAAAAATTAAAACAGTAACTAAAATACATTATTAAAAGAAGTCCCTTTAGGCAAAGATCCGAAGATACTGGAAGCGTTCCCCCTTTGGATAGCTAGACTAATGCTATGTCTGAGGTAGCTGCCAGCTCTTTGGTCTCCTGTGATGTCGACTAACCTTTTTGCTATATCCTTAAAAAGCCTTATAGCGCTAGGACCCCATGGAGCAAGGGTCTCGACACCGAATGGGACAAAATCATATTCGGAGCCTAAACCCCTGTATTTGCATGACTTAGCTTTTTCTTTTCTTTCTTTTGCTTAGTTAGTACTTTTTAACTTAAAGTTACATTATTTAACTATAGAAAATAATCTAGATGCGGACCAGACATCAGTTTGGTTCGCGTGAATTTGTTTTCTAGTAAAATTTTCTTTACATTTAAATATCAAGCAGTTAAATGCTAAAAATAATAAATATAAGTTATACCTATTATACAAATGGATTACTCCATAAAACGCAAAAGTGGTACAAATTTAAAAACTGTTGTATTAAATTATCTCTGTTTATTTATTTTCAGGTAAGATTCTGCATCAGCTGTCAACGATGTGTAAGTGAAATTCACTTGACTGCCTCTAATTAAATAATTTTATATGTACAACTAGCTGACCCAGCGAACTTCGTACCGCCATAAAAATAAGGGCAGGTGGTAGAAGAGAAAATTTAGGGTTGTATGTATTTTGTAATACCACATTATAAAAAAAAAAAATATTGTCCAAAACAAATTTTAGGGGTGTGTAACGTAGTGTTCTATCAATTTCCTGGGATAACATTCCTCCTAACCCATATGAGAACACTACGATACAATACCCAATAGATTGAATTTTAGCGCGAAGGCGCATTGCAGGTTTTTGAACACTCCGTTACAGGTGGACAACCATTATCACTTAAAGATATGAAAAATAGATAGTAGCCGATTCTCAGACCCACGGAATATGCATATAAAATTTCATAAAAATCGGTCAGGCTGTTGCGGAGGAGTATGGTAACTAACATTGTGACACGAGAATTTTATATATGTACTAGCTGACCCAGCGAACTTCGTACCGCCCTAAAAAACAGGGGTTGTCCAGCGGACAAAATTGCGAATCTAAACCATTCTCAGATCCCCTTGAACACACACAAAAAATTTCATCAAAATCGGTCCAGTCGTTTAAGAGAAGTTCAGTGACATACACACTCACAGAAGAATTATATATATAAAGATAAGACTAGCTGACCCAGTGAACTTCGTACCGCCATAAAAAAATAGTGGTTGGTGGAAGAAGGGTAAAAATTTTGGGTTGTATGTAATTTTGTATGATGTATCATAAAAAAATAAAAAAAATATATATATCTAAAATTGAAAAAAGGGGGGGGGGGGATTACCCTTAACATTTAGGGGGATGAAAAATAGATGTTGTCCGATTCTCAGACCTACCCAATATGCACACAAATTTTCATGAGAATCGGGAAAGCCGTTTCGGAGGAGTTTAACCACAAACACCGCGACACGAGAATTTTATATATTAGATTTTATTGTGGAATATTTTTGACTTACTGTTCACATTCCTTTCCTTCTTATGTAAGCACAAGAACAAAGACGTCTGTCTAGTTTGAGGAGCACAATGATGCGGGTGGTTAGCGCGTTCGGCCACAATCGTTGAAGTTAAGCAACTTTCGCAGTGGTCGGTCATTGAATGGGTGACCAAAAATCTTCTATCTCGAGTTCCTCTGTGCTTCGGAAGGCACGGTAACCCGTTAGTCCCGGCTGCAGCTGCAATCGTTAGCACCCACCAATCCGCACGGGGCCCGCGCGATGGGTCATGGTCCAATCTCGCTATTCCATCCTGTGCCCCAGCAGTGGGGACATTAATAGGCTGACGATGAAGACATTTTTATACGTATTTAGAAATAATAATCTCGTTTTTTCCATTTAATACTTTAAATTTTAATACGAATCACATTTTATTTTTGAAGGAGATAAATAAATTAATGAAGTTAATCGTCTTTTTGGACGAGTTGTTAATGAAGAAATCCTATATATGAAACGGAAATGCATCACGTGTGTCACACGACTATATATATAAAAATACTAGCTATCCCAGCAAACATCGTACCGCCATAAAAAAATAGAAGTTGGTGGTAGAAAGAAGGGTGAAAATTTAGGGTTGTATGTATTTTTTATGATGTATCATAATTATGATGATTTTTATGATGTCCGATTCCCAGACCTACTGAATATGCATATAAAATTTCACGAAAATCGGTCGAGCCGTTTCGGAGTAGTTCAGTTACGCACACCGTGACACGAGAATTTTATTTAATACTAGCTGACCCAGCGGACTTCGTACCGCCCTAAAAAAATAGGGGTTGTCCAGCGGACAAAATTGTGAATCTAAACCATTCTCAGATCCCCTTGAACACACACAAAAAATTTCATCAAAATCGGTCCAGTCGTTTAAGAGAAGTTCAGTGACATACACACTCACAGAAGAATTATATATATAAAGATTGATAGGTATGTGATACATATGTGTCATACGACATTTCAAATCAATGTACTCTAGGTATTATGTTACTTTTGTGTGAAAAAAAACAAAAGAATCGTGTCTAATACTCTTTTGATAGACGAAGGGAAAGTAAATTAATATTTCAGAGGGGCCAATCGCTTAAAGAGATTACTATGGCTATCGCTATCGCTTACGATTTTGCCTGTTTCTGGCCGCTGAAGGTTTTGAAATGCCTCACGCCATAAAAGGCGTAATAGGTATTTGAACCTTCGGGGGTCAGAAATAACAAAATTAAATCGTAAGCGATAGCGATAACCATAGCAATCCCGTTAAGCATTTTACCACCAGGACGGTCAAAAGTAAGTAAAAAAAGGCCGTGCTTAATCATTTTTTTTTTTATTTCGTTCTATTAACATATTTCTTTTGTCTTTCCTTCTTTCTTGTAATCCATCTTAGACAAGCAGAACATCACCGTGGAAGCCCGTAGAATTAACAAGATGGCTATCTGGACGATCTCCTGTGATCTCGCGAATCCCTGAGAATCCCGGCGATTCCCGGGATCCCGGGATTGCGGCGACAGATACATTCAAGTCGCCTTATCTCTCCTTGAGAGATCGCCTCGATTTGTCTCACTGACCCTTGTGAGGGTAGCGACCAAAGTCCTTGAAATGCATAGAATAACCTCATTCGTTGATAAAACGCATTTTAATATTTCTTAAAGCTACTTACTTACTCAAAGGTAATAAATAAACTACCTATTTGATTTATTTATTTATTCAGTTACACATGGCCGGCACGCACGCCAACTTACAGAAATATCCAAAACGCCGGCAAGTCATACTAAAACATTAACATTCATTCCAATTCAACAAAATTAAGAAAAACTGTCAAATAGATAAACACCCAGAAACAAAGTCAAATTGCCCATTGTAAATTTTTTAGTTAACATTATAATAAAAAATAAATAATCATGTCAAATTAATAATGTCATATCATTCCAAGAAATTAAAAAGATTAATGTCAACTAGGTACGATTAATGTCAAATATAATCGAATCTAATTAAATAATGTCATATCAATTTAATAAATAAATTGATAAATTCAGAATTAGTCAATGAGCTATTTTCTCGAGTAACTCATGTGCAGCCGCCACTAGCTCTGTTAAACCATCAGCGAACAAGTCCATATTATCACACTAGCTGTCCCAGCGAACTTCGCATCGCCAAGTTGGTGGTACAAGGGTGAAAATTTAGGGTTGTATGATTTTTTAATGGCACATTATAAAAAAAAAATGGTCTAAAAAATTAAGAATAAAATTTTAGGGGTGGACAATCCTTATCACTGAGGGATATGAAAAATAGATAGTAGCCGATTCTCAGATCTACTGAATATGCATATAAAATTTCATAAAAATCAGTCAAGCCGTTTCGGAGAAGTATAGGTAGTAACTAACATTGTTACACGAGAATTTTATATTTAAGAACTAGCTGACTCGGCGAACTTCGTACCGCCCAAAAGTAATAATTTGCAATAAATTAAAATTGCGACTATAATTTGAGATTTAAATTATCCTATCTCTCAAGTTGGATCGAACTGCACATGGTGTGCGAATTTTATTATAATCGGTTCAGTGGTTTAGGAGTCCATTGAGGACAAACATTGTGACACGAGATTTATACATATTAAGATTGAGCGAGCATCACCCCGATCATTGATTGAAGCTCTTAATTAGACTTTTCCAAATTATAAATCATCATCATCATGTCAGCCGTAAGATGCCCACTGCTGAGTATGGGCCTCCCCCAAGGATCTTCACACCGATGCAGATGGGTTCCGCTCCTGAGCCACTCGCATCCAAAATAAAAATAATGTATGTACCTACTTACTTTCTGTACGGATTTTCTTTTAAATCCTTAGCCCTGCATCATAATGTTTATTTTAAAGAATTCTATTCTCTGAAAACAGAATTAAAATCAATTGAAATAAACAAGCGATTATTGTAATAAATACAAATAATAATGACGAGAATCGGGACAGTGAGACAGTGCTAGGAACAGTTTGGTCCTTTTAATTTAGAGTTCATTAAATAAATAAATAATAAATAAATAAATATTTCCGGCACTCACACCAATTAGCCTAGCCCCGAAGTAAGCACTGTAAAGCTTGTGTTATGGGATGCTAGGGTAACGGATAGAATACATATACTGTAATATATTTATATAAATACATATTAAACATCCATGACTGGAGTATAAATTGTGAATCTAAACCATTCTCAGGTCCCCTTGAACACACACAAAAAATTTCATCCAAATCGGTCCAGTCGTTTAAGAGAAGTTCAGTGACATACACACTCACAGAAGAATTATATATATAAAGATTCATATAGAAATACATATAAAACATGACCATGACCATGACTGGAGTACTAATGCTCGTATTCATCACACAAACATCTGCCCCCACCGGGATTCGAACCCGAGACCTCTCGAGTCGGCGACAGCCATGAAACCCGGCGTACAAACCACTCGGCCACGGAGGTCGTCGAAATCATTATAAGACGTGCGGTGAAATTTTTTAGAAAAATATACCTATTTTAGCTTTAAAGCAACGCTTCAAATGCTTGTCTAATATAAGATACTATTTACCTATTAATAAATTAATCGGACAATTTCAAACGAATATTTAGCGCGAACAGTAGATTTTTTTACATTGCTCGGTTTACTTTCAGCCATTCTTTCAGACTGATATCTTGGCCGTCTTGTTATCATCCAGTAGTCACCTGCTGACTCAAATTAATGTGGCTTAAAAAACACGTGGACCAAGCAGCAGACGGGACTCGAACCCGCACCCTTCGCAATCCGGGCGAATGCACTGACCAATTATGCTACCGCGGCCCTCACGAACTATTGACATTGTGGGTTACCTATAATGCGAAGAGATGGCGCTGCCTTGCAGCTTAAGAATCGCTAGAATTTTCCGACGCGGCCGTCAGGGCCGCAGTAGCATAATTGGTCAGTGCATTCGCCCGGATAGCGAATGGTGCAGGTTCGAGTCCCGTCTGCTGCCTGGTCCGTGTGGAATTTTTTCTAGTTACCTATATTTTCTTTATATTTAAACATCAAGCAGTTACATGCTTAAAATAATAATAAAAAAATTACATTGTTAAAAACTCACCACTTGTCACCTACAGGCTCAAAATAAATATTGCTTGAAATCTTTAAAACATTCTTTAAAACTCACATTGAAATTACCTACTGCAGCCCCTCTAGCGTGACCTCAGAAACGGGATATGATAAAGCGATATATCGACATTACCTGTCAGACTACTATGGAGTTTGACAGTAGTCTGACAGTTAATGTCGATATATCGCTTTATCATATCCCGTTTCGGTGGTCATGCTAGAGGGGCAGGCTAATATTTTTTTCATCTCGTCACTGTGTCGCCTAAATAAGTCTACATTCAAACGATACAGATTCGGACCATTTGTTGAGATCTTTATACGATTGTTACGTCTTCATCTCATCTAACTGCCTCGGTCTCAAGACAGATCTTATCTTCAGGAGACACCGGTGACCCTCATTAGGAGCCGGTCGGATAACGCAGCACCCGACCAATGGCCCGGAAACTTTACCCGGGTTACTGGTAATCTGCTTGTATCTGTTCGTCCCTGTTTAGGTGTACAGGTACTAAATTGTCAATGAATACGTTTGAGACAAGATCGCTTAGTTTGCTCATAGCCCGGGTTATAATTATCTAATCATTGTGTTATTTCGGAAGGGAGGGGGACATTTTAACCCCTTTTTAATAAATATGTCAATAAAAAAAATGGGTGCGTGTACTTATGTAGGCGCGTGAGAATTTATCCTTCTTTGGCATCGTTTAAAATTAGTTTTTAATTGCATGCAAATAATTAATTACAATAAATTAATAAAAAGTCTGGAAAAGGACACAGTCAATAAAGTTCAGTTTTAATTTGAAAAAATAAATAAATAATCAAAATATTCAATTAAAATCGCTACTGAATAATTATAATTTATTAGAACATATGTGATTTGCACTTGTATGAAACTCAAACACGTATTCCGAATATACAAACTAGAAACATGTGGATAAATATTATAAATATGAATACCTATAACTGTTACTTTATTACAAAAAATAAAGATGTGGTTTTTGGTTCTACTACACCAATGGTCAAGAGATGGCGCTGTAGTCTCCTGAATCGCGCTTTGGTTCCGTTGTTCCAGATTAATAAATACTTTTGATAGGCCTTCACAATGCAGTCGTTAGCACCCACTAAATAGAGATTCTATTTCTATTTTGTTGGTAGATTTTCTTGAAGTTGGTCGCTAAAGCGACCATCTTCATGCTGTTAAAATTTTGTGTTACAGTGATGCGCGCGCATCTTAAAATTTCACTCTCATCATTTTTTCATAACGCGCCTAAAGAAGTATAACTTCATTAAAATGATATGTCAATTAACATGATTATAATATACTAGGTTTGTATTATAAAAAAATCGCCTCATTAATATTATTTTGTTGTAAAGTGTTCATTTATATTATATTAGTTTTACATCTACATATAAAGTTTTATCAGTTCTATCAGGGCCAATGAATGAGTTAAATTTCCTCCCCTGGCGCGGCGGTACGGTAGGTAGCGCTCGCGGGCGCTATCAAGCGGATAAATTTAACTTGTCTCGTTAAACTGATCGTTAAATATGCCGCTTATAGATAGCTTAATCGCCGGTTAAAATGTTATTTCAAAAGAATCAATCCATGTTTAATGTAGTTGCATTTTTATTTAGAAAACTGGGTGCGAATATTAGAGATCGTAATGGGAGATGCTTAATGACAAGGTATCTTGGTTTTTTTAGCATTATATACCTACCTTGACCCCATCCCATATGCCGATAATAATTATAGTCAGATATAATGAAAAATTTGCTAGAAAAGAATCCACGCGGGCCAGACAGCCTACGATCGACGACCTCCGTGGCCGAGTGGTTTGTACGCCGAGTTTCATTGTGTCGCCGACTCGAGAGTTTAATATGTATTGCTATATAAATATACTTATATATGTTAAGTATATGTATTCTATCCGTTACCCTTGAATTCCATAACACACGCCTTACAGTGCTTACTTTGGGGCTAAGCTAATTGGTATGTGTTGGAAATATTTATTATATTTACTAATTTTTTTCTTAAAAAAACAAAAAAATTACGGGACTCAAACCCGTACCCTTCGCTATCCTGGCGAATCATTATGCTTCCGCGGCCCTGATGGTCGTGTCGAACTTTCTCCAGCCTTTCTTGCTGCAAGGCAGCGCCATC